GGCCCGGCGCGACCGGGCTTCTCGGGGTCGCCCGCCGGGAGACGTGGGGCCCGCCGGTGGACCGCGCTTCCCCTCGTACCCCTGGCCGCAGGCTCCCTCCTGTCTCAGTTATGCCCGGTTCCCGGGGGAAATCCTCGCCTCGGGGACCCAGGGCCCGGCTGGATGCCTTCCTGGGGTTTGGGAGAGGGGACCAGGAGCAGGTCAGAGGCTAGAAGAGTCCTCTCTGCCTGGGTGGATGACAGTGACTTCCTCCCGCATCTCCTTGCCGCTTCACCACTAACTACCGTGCTTCAGAACCCTGGGTCCCCATTGTGGGACATAAGAGGGCAGCGTGTGAGGGGAAATGCCACCAAGGCCTACGGTGGGGGGTGGTTGTTATAGGGCGGTAAAAACGGGTGTCTAGGACAGAGTGGAGGCAGGGGAAACGAGGGGTTTCGACCGAGGTCTTAAGCAGAATGCGCCCCGCCCAGCTTGCTTTCAAGGCTGTGACCCAGGGCTTCCTAGAGGAGGTGGAGCTGGGTTGCCCTAGGATGGAGTGGGGGGCTGGAGTGGCGGGGGTGGGGGGTCCTCTCAGAAAGAGGAGCAGAAGTAGAAGGAGACCCAGCTGTAGCACTTTCTGGTACGAGATGAGGGGACTTACCCTGATGCACAGAAGGAACAGGATGAATGGAATCCAGCTCGGAGGACCAGGTTGGCGGGGGTGGGGGTGGGGCAGGAGAAGCACAGAGCCTGACACATAGTTAGGATGGGACACGTATGCGTTATTATTTTTACTTTCCACTGCGGGCTCTCCAGAGTCCCTTGCCAGCCACCCTGGGCACCAGCTGTGTCTCTGACTCCGTCCCAAAGTTGAGAATTGAGCCATGCCTCCTCTGAGCCTCCCTCTGACCACCCCTGCGGGGATGTGGATCTGGCCTCCTTGCTCCACACCCTTCCCACCTTAACTGGGCTGGGCTGGGCTGGGCTTGTGTCAAGCTCAGAGCTACCTTCCACTTGGAGAAAGGGCCATTCAGGTTGCTCCTTTCTCAGCTGGGCATTAATAAGAGGGACTGAGTCCAGAGTGATGGTGACCAAGGTGTATCCAGGTACTTCTCAATTCTCTAAGTCTCCAGCCAGCTGCAACAGGTAAGGTGAGTCATCACTTGCAGATAAGGCATCTGGGGGCCCAGGATTAGGACTTTGGCCTGGGAGTTCAAGGCCTAGCTCTGCCCCATCCTACTTAGGGGCTCAGGGCAGTGCCCATCAGCCCGAGGGGGTCAAGAAAAAGGTCAACACTTGGACTCAGACCCAAGTACAGCTAGGAGTAGAAATGAGGTAAAGATGGTGTTGAACGCCCATCTCTGGGCCTCACTCTCCTTATCTGAGTGAAGGGATCATAATCCCTGCTCTGCCTGCCTCTCAGGGCTGTTTGACCAAAGGCAAAGCAGAGCAAAACTGGAATTTGGAGCTGGCCGTGGGTTCCAACTTGTTACTGAATCTCGCTTGCCCTTGAGAGGGCCACAACCTCTCTGAGGCTTGGTTTTCTCATTGTCAAGCTCTCCCAGCCCTGCCACTTATGGTTGGCAGGAGGGTCAGGTGAAGTCATGGATTTCAGAGGCTTATTGTTTAAACCAACAAGTTTCCAGCCCTCTGGGAGTTTCCTGTTTAATTAAGGAAAAGGCGGGGAAGCAAAGCAAACTTACAGGGCTAATGAAAAAGGATGTTGTAAACAATCGCAGATGGAGGTGGTGGCTGTTACTCCAACTGGAGGAGGGGGATCCTAGCCACCAGGAAGCTTCCAGAGGAGAGGTGCTGGCTGGAAGGGTGGCTCTGCACGGGGCTGGGAGACTGGTGGGTGAAGCCTTGCGTGCGAAGGGCCCAGGCCTGTCCCGGGAAGCAGTGTGAGTCAACTGGGACAGCTGAGCTGCAGGGGTGCAGCTTGGACGTGGGCCAGGAGGTCAGTCTCAAAAGGTCATAAAAGCCACAGAGCTCCCAGTGTCAGGGCTCAAGACCACCACCAAGGCACTGGGCAAAATGCATACCCACGGGCCACACGCTCCAGTTTGGCAATCTGCATTTTAACCAGGCCTCTCTGCTGGCAATGTGGGGTGAGGTAACTTGGGGTCACATTTTGGGAAATGTTGCCTGAATGTTTCCACTTGGAGACCTTGAAGGGCAAGGTCTAAAGCCTTGAGTCGTAATCCTAGCTCTGCCACTTTCTGACTCTGGGATTTGAGGCAAATTACCCCGCGCCCTAAGCTTCAGGTTTGCATCTGTGAGGTGGGAGTGCCGACCCCCCCTCAGCAGCGAGTCTGGGTGGGCCCCATTCTGGCAGAGTTGGGATCCCTCTCCTGGCTTCGGCCTTCTTTCTCCCTTCTCCCCCCTCCCCCCTCCTTTCTTCTTCCCTCCAAACCTCCCCCGCTTTCCTTCCCCCCACTCCTGTCTCGCCTCCCTCCTTGGAGCTGCAGTACAAACTCATCACCCTGGGCTAGGGAGGCCAAGCTGCTGGAGTTCAGGCAAGGTCAGGTCCTATTCTGGGGATGACGCTGGGGCCCGGCCTTCCCCGCTGGCCCCAGGCTGCGTCATCGTCACCGACAGGGGCTGCTGCACACAGCAACTGCCTAGTGGTCAAGGCAAAAGGAAAATGTCAACTCCAGCTCTGAGACCCAGGAGCTGTTTCATTCAGTGCCCTTCCCTGAGGGGCCTTGGGCAAGCTTACTGCTTTCCTCAGCCTCAGTTTCCACCTCTGCCAACCAGGCAAGAAATCCTGCAGCCTTCCTCTCAAGGAGTCCCAGATGGACACAGGACAGTTTTAAAGATGTTTGTGCTCATTGTGGCCTTGGCCTTGGGCCAGCATCATTCCTTGGGGTCAGAGTCCCAGCTGTTACCAACCGTGTGATTATCAACCAAGGGGAGAGCCTTCATTTCTCTCTGGTCCTGGAGGCATTTAAAGGCCCAAGCAGCGCCCCTTCTGCCCAGGCATGGGGGAGCTGGCACGAGGGAAGGGCGGTGGGGGAGAGTGAGCGGGCTCAGGGCGGACAGGGGCAGCAGCGAGCAGGGGCGGCAGCAGCAGGCCCGCTCCCGTGTTGGCCTGGCACTGTGCTTACATGCGCAGCGGCCCCAGAGGTCAGTGTAACGATTAGCCCGTCCACGGGGCGGAAGCTCAGGATGGTTAAGTGTCTTGCCCGCGGTGACACAGCTAGTGGGGAGCATGGCCGACCTGCCGGCCTTCCGCCTACTAGTCTGGTGTCCACCGCAGGGAGTTGAAGCAGGAGGCATGAGGCTGGGGCTGCGTCAAGGGTTTCAGGTCTAAGCAGAAGCGTTTCTCTACTGGGTGATGGGTCTCGTTTGGGTCGGCCAATGGGCGTGCCCAGCCTAGGAGCCAGCCAGCGCAACTTGTGGAAGTCACCCACTTCCACGAACTTCCAGGCAGCCAGCCACGGCCTCAGGGGCAAGAGTCCTTCTCTCCTGCACCTGGGGCAGCGGAGGCAGCCTCCCGCCCTCCTCGTCCCTCCCTTGGGGGCCCAGAAGGAGGAAAGGAAGCCGTGGGAACTACAGGTTTTCTACCCTCCTCTCCAGAACTCATTGGCCTCCTGCCCTCTGCCAGTTCCCACAGCCATGCCACCCTTTCCCTGTAGTAATCGCCACTGCCTCATTGAATTCTGTCCCCGCCGTGGGCGTGGTCCCAGATGCTTCCGTGCGGTTTCTTCTGTAACCCTCACATGCCCTGCGGAGGTGCTGGCGCAGCCCCACGCTCAGAGAGGGGCGGTAGACTCGTGCCTGTGTCCGCCTCCCAGATCCATCCTCTGTGTGCTCCGTGGCCTTCAGCAGTTGGCACAGCCCCTCTGAGCTTCAGTTTCCTCGTGCATAACAAGGGAGTAATACTTTCCATGACCGTTAAACATTATGTGTCCACTTGGCGAGGCCACGGTGCCCACTGCTCGGTTAAACACTTGATGTTGCCGTGAAGGTATTTTGCATGTGTGATTAGCATCTACAATCGGTTGACTAAGCGAAGGAGATTTTCCTTGGTAACGTGTGTGGGCCTCGTATAGTCAGCCTCAGAGCTCTGAAGGCCTTCTGAGCAAAAACTGAGGATCCCGGGAGGGGGACTTCCCCCACAAGCAGTTAACAGAAATCTTGCCTGGGTGTCCAGCCTCCCACCCAGCCCTACAAACTTCAGGGCTGCCAGCCTCCACCGTCATGTGAGCCGATTCCTTAAAATAGATCAGTCTTCCTCTCCATATATACTGAAAAGTTGGTTCTGTTTCTCTAGAGAGCCCTGACTGATGCACTTACCCCATATAGGTTAACCCAAGGACTTGGTGAGACCCTGGGCCAGGGACCAGCACCTGGAAAGAGCACGCCCTCAGTGTTAGGTGGTGGCTTCAGATGGGGAAACTGAGGCTTGGACGAGGGACTTGTCCAAAGTTTCAGAGCTAGAGTCAGGATTTGAGCCAGGCCTGCCTTCTCTCTCAAAGTGTCTTTGCCCTGTCACCCACTCCTTGCCAAGATCCTTGGGTCAAGGTCTCCCAGCGGCCACTGGCGGCCCCCTCACTCCAGAGGTTCCCTTTGGACTTAAAGTCTTCAAGCCGCGGTGGGGGAGG